GGAACGGGCTTCCATCTGAGATACGTGCAATCCAGTCAGGGATGAAGTTCCGACACGTTATACATTCCTTTCTAAACGTCGAAACAGCGATCGGTATATTGCAATCTACCTTGACAAGTGAATCCCCGTACGAAATAGGAACAAGAATGATATAGTAGCAGTATCAGGGGATCTTTTCATTCTCCTGTTGCCCGATCTTACTGCCCTCCCCAAATTTATCAGTAGCAATAACGTGTTTTCGAAAGGCAAAAATATCCTGATTAACAATGAAGTTCACACACACCAAGACGAAACTGTGCCCTATAGTTCCTCTCGAGCACATTATTTCGCATTTGTTCTGCAACGCTAATTATTTTCTACTTATCTTTTCCCCTGGACCCCTCCCTTAGGTACGAGCTGCTGTGTTACGTGCTCAGCGAACTCAATGTTGATTTAATCCTTCTGCTTTTGGACTGGATCCATTTGATAACACCTTCCGATACCTACCATGATCTTCCACGCTTACATTCACTCTGAACAAATCCCCTCAACGAAATCAGCTTCTCCTCTTACCGCACACAGCTGAACGGTTGGAACTACAGTTAACTTACAGTACTTTGCGTACAGTTTTCTCTCCTTCCCTGAAAAATACCAGGCGTACATACAACATTTCTCAGTACCATACCAAATTATTTCGCACCACCAATTTTCCCATTTTGATCTCTGACAACCGCTGGAGCTCTTACTATTTCCTCTGAAAATTCTTCTCCTGTTCTGTAAAAAGCATGTATATTCCTGAGGTTATCAGTTGCCAGTTAAACTTGTAGAAGCTGAATCGAGCAACGTTGGACGAAAAGCTAGCATTTCACGTTACTGTACGTCCACCCACTTTTCTTTGCTTATTTCTCTCCTTCCAGTGTTGGCCAGGATTGGGCTGATCTCCCGAGGCCATGGATAAATGCTTCCGAAAAAAATACAGCACACTCATGCAGTATGAGTTATCACAAACTCACTGGCAAATTTTACAAGTGCTTGATTCTAATCAGCCAAATGATGGCTGTGCGATGGGGAGAGCTTAATATGAAACACAGGCCCCCACAGTACATTGCTGGAATTGAATCAGCTAAAAGATAGCTGTATGATGGGGAGAGCTTTTCATTGAACACCGGCCCCCACAATACTGTGCTGGAAACAAATCAGATAAAAGATGGCTATACGATGGGGAGAGCTTAATATATATCACAGGCCCGTACATAACTGTATACATATAACGCCACAATAGCACATGGTCAGATTAGATGTGGAAGGGAAGTGTGGAAGCAGGTCTCCGGGAGACGGTTTCATGATGGGTCGTATTACTCCAATTAAACTGACAGTTTATATCTACTTTTATTCTTAATCTCAACTTCTACTACTCTTACTCCTTTATTATTTTTAATTGATTTAGCACTGAAACATTCTTATGTGAACACAATAGATCACTGAATATCCCTCTCCACTACCCGACTTTGTTGTACCACATGATCAGGCTCGTAGTCTGCCTGTGTCTCGCATGTCGAGAAATATATCATTTATTTATTTATGTGTTGCGTACAACTTCCCAAGAGTGCGACCTTTGTGTGATCATTCAAAATAACCTTAACTGTTCAAGTCAGTCAGAGGCAGCTGCGAAAATAGCCAACCAGCGTGTGCGCTTGTTACAGACAGCATTCGGAAGATCCGACCCATTCACCTTTCCCATGATGCACAATTTTTACTTGCACCCTAAATTTGAATACGCCATCCAAGTTTGGGAACCTTGGTTGAAGCTTGGCTTAGAAGTGCTGGAGAAACCACAAAGCAGGGCCACAAAGAACTTCAAGGGTCTACGGAATCTTACATACCATCAAAGGCTGAAGTCACCAGGAGTTTGCAGTGTTCGCTGCCGAAGGTTGCCCGGCGATCTCATATTAGTCTACCAAATATTAAGTGACCCAAGTCACGTTTGTCGTCACTTTCTGAAACTCAGCCATAACACCAATCGCAGAGGTAACCTTCTGAAATTGTATGAACAGTATAGCCGCCAGGAACGCCGGCGGAATTATTTTTCTCTTCGGATTTGTCAACCCTGGAACTCTCTTAAATTTAGTTATTTCCTACCCCACCTTGGATATTTTCAAAAAAAATTGGATCTTGCCTTCAGCCTCCATGACTTTCTTGCCTAAACTGTGCAACTTTGGACTGTATTAATTAACCCTCCAAACCGTATTAACCTGTTACATAAACCTGAAGAGGTTGTACAGACGTGAGTATTCTCGTTTTTAGTTTGCTCTCGGAGTACACCAATTATAACTCTCCCCTTGTTGCCTCATCATTCGCATTCAATTCCTCTTTCACTACTATTATTCAGCCGCGTACCTGCTAGATAAAGGCACAAACAAACAACTCACCTACCTTTTGATAAGTATAGATTTACCCCCATCATCCTGCGGGACTAGTCCAGCAAGTTCTTTTTCATCCGGCATAAATCATTGTTCATTGTTAACGACAATCAAAACATTCGTCATATCAGCTAACGCGGTTGGTGCGCGCAAGGCTTTTGCACCCGATTCAAGAATGCCAGAGCACGCAACTTTTATGACAAACACGAATGAACATCAAGAGCGTATCAGAAACACATCCGTAGCTTTGTATGTTCGTTCGAATTGCAAAGCTCTTTCCACCCTGTTTGTTAGGGTAGCTAAGGACAATGGACTAAAGTAATCAGTTTGAGGTCATGAAGTTCGGCGAACACTTGCAACCCCCTAATCCAACCTGTGTTTTATGTATCAAAAAATTTTATTCCGTTGACTCATTTCCATAGTCTAATTCTTTACAAACGATAAACATTCAAGTATGGAATGGTTCGATTCGGGAGAGATTACTTACATTGAGTTGTGACACTGTTGCTAGCTACTGAACAAAGTAAGTAATTATATAGAATTCAATTAGTAGATGAATCTAAACTTACATTTTGCCCAAACAATTTAGCAGACCAAGCATATGCAATGCGATGGATACCCTCCAACATGAAATATATCTCCCCACAATGTAGTTGGTCAACTGTAGAAAACATGGCGGGGAGTATATACTGAGTTATGGTTCACCAGTGGTACTTAATGAAGCAGTAGGGATTATGTAAAATATATACCGCCTGCCTATACATCAACGCAATTTGCAGGAATCCTTTGATTGAAATTTGTACTTTCATGTTAGGCGGCCACGAACACAACCTGATCGGCTCATTGGAAAGCGAATTGGTAGTATGCAAATATCTGATCGTATGGGTGATGCACCGACGAATATCGTAAACACTAATCAATGCTTCGCTTATATTAGGAAAGTCACCTTAGGAGATTGATCTATTTGGCAACATGGACAAGTAGATAAAGTAATTGACCTTAAGTCATTCTACTTTTGCTGATAAAGAGAGGATAAGCTAATTGTTTACTTTGCACTGCAAATTTCCGTTAATGGAACTAAACCCAAGCCAGTAGCAGATGCCTTTACCAAGTGCATCTTGCTGAACGACAGCATAGCTAAATGGAGAACCCGTGCATTTTGAATCGCTTGAAGTAGCTAGAAGAGGACCGGTGTTTAAATCGAGCAAGTTGCGCAGGATGCCGTTGCAACTAATAAAAATATAAACAAATAGCTAATGATTAGGTTGCGATTAGTACTGCTGCGTTCCATCAATGAACTTTGCTATCAGTTATGCCCGTGTACTAAACAGCCGTATGAAAAAATAATCAAGATAATAAATAAATCGATTTCGCATTCGACAGTGGAAACATTTAATTTTAGCAAGCACAATGGCATGGGAACTCTTTGATGCTTGCCGCTACTATTTTCGACACGCTCTAGCATTTTGCTGCAAATACTTGTCCCGAATACGTTTTGCTACACATTCTGTTAGTCCAAATCAAAGGTTGTTTGTTTCTTAACAATTGTTACCGATATAGCGTTCCATGTTTTAATATTAAGGTTGTTGTTGTTGTTTTCATGCAACGTGATTCTCAGTACATTTTCTCCTATTCTTATGGTCTGATTTTCTCGCGAAACTCTAACAAAGTACTTCCTGAACACAAAGGCTTATATAAAAGTAAAACATATCCCAGAAGCTGTCTACGAGCTACAAGCTAAACCCAAACACATTTAGCACATCTGGGTTAGAATTAAGCAAGAAATAGGAAAATTTATCTGTTGTGTCGCATAAGCATTTTGTTTTACCTAAATTACTTAATGTGACGTAGATGGAAGTACTTTTGCACTTGTGCACATCTCCGTCGCCGCAAAATATTTATGTCAATTTCAGCATTCGCTAAGTTGTCAATAGAGCACACTTTGATTGATCGATCTCCCAGAGAAGTTAGGGGGACAATGGAATGGAAAAGATTATGGGCGGCACACTGTCATTGTAGACTGCTTTGTTGTGGGACAAAAATTCGACGAGTAGCCCTCAACTGATTTCTGCCGAAAGCGTTTAGAGATGCGTGAATATTTTCAAAAATAGCTTGCGTTTACAGCCCCGCGAACAAAGCCTTTAACTGTCAAGGTTTTCATGTACTTTGCCTTGGAATTCTTCATCCTTTCGAACGCTTGACCGGTTTCGAAGAAACGACACACGCTTAAATCGCCTCAAACAGTTTACTCAAGCTCATAATCGCTTCACGTACGGATGTCGCAAATTCAGTCCTCAAGTACTGGATGAAGCCGCGCCACGGCTGGACCAATCAAAAGGTGCCTATGTGGTGTATGTTTGTCTACGGATTGGTCGGCGAAACTCGGAAATAGCTGTGCCACACGTTCGGCTACCAACCATATTTGCTCCCTTAACGAACGTCAGAATAGAAGATTTAGAGCAAAAGTTAGGATATTCGTCGCGCCATAGACTGAAATTCGTCCGTATCCTTCAGGTACAAAGTGGTGGTTTTAACCATAACAGGAATTTTTACCCGGTGTCTGGACTAGTTGCTTTTTATCTTCTTGTCTTCCGCAACCTGATGCAAGTCGACTTGGTGTCAAGCAGCAAAAGCAAAGATGGCAAAGAGGTCACCTTGGGGTGAGTCGTGTGATCCTTAAATATCATCGGCCAGTATGTTTTAATTAATCATATGCAGCTGATCAACTCACCTGCACTGAAACTGCTGACTCTAGGTGAACAACTTGAGGTGAAATATTTTATCATAACTAGGACGGGAACTACTTAGCAGCTGCACCACGGCGTGTTGCCACTGTTCTGTTAGTAAAAAGCTTCAGAAATACATATCATGTTCACTGATGTGATCATCATTTTAAATAAAAACTGGAAAATTCGTGGTATTGTAACGAGTTTTTATTGGTTACTCGCACACAGAGATAAGAGTCTGGATTACTTGCGTCGTTGCGGTGCTTTGAAAATACTCGTCCTACTCTCTGCCGGTAAGCACCTGTGAGACCGAAGTACCACTGCTGTATCCATGTACCAGATACAAATTTTGGGATGTTCACCCGGAGTTCAAGTGTATCATTGAAGATCAAGAAAGTTCAGCGTAAATGCAGGCTCCCAGATCGCATACTGAGTAAAAGCTGTTAGAAATATGGTCATTAAAACAACTGAAAGCAGTATCTTGCTTATTAGTAAGTAATATGTAGTGCTGCAAGTACATTTATGTTAGTCAGTGTGGTCAGTAACTAAGACTGAGGCCGGTTATTTGAGTTGTTTATACTCCAGAAAATTATAAACCATCACAGATGGTGCTGGAAGTCCTGTGTCAGTTTAAGTTTACGTAAGATGGTTGTCACCAAATTGGTCATTATGGCTCGGAAATGGACTAGACCTTGATTCAAACGTTGTTGGATCAAACAATATGTTATACTGTCCCATGACTTGATAGCAGTTAATTATTCTGCACTTTGATGTCACACAGTTGACACAGTAGTCTAATTGATACACTTCTATTGACACAATAAAGTGGTAGAGTATGGGAAACAGCTACCAGTCTTTAATCGATTGAAATCAATGTGTAGTAACACGATAAGGCACAAACGTCATTAACCGTTTTGTTTTTATTTACGTGAACCTAAGATGACGTATTCAAGTAAACGCAAGTCCGTCGTGTGGAACAACAGCATTCGCAGGTACACATGGGGAAGATTTGGCTGAGAACAATTGCTGTAGCATGAAGAAACGAATTCAGAAGAAAGCATAATGAGTTGAGTTTAGCAATAGTCCAGCCGAGCGCAGGTGTTTTATTCATTTGCACGATGCCATATTGAAAAGAGATACAGCTCCATCATCTGAACTGTGAAGTCCATGGAATGAATAACAAACAAACTTACGCACAGTCTCAGCTCTCCAAATGGACTAGTGTTGTTATCTTTGAATAAACAAACAAGCAGTTCAAATGGCGAATGGTGTGTCTAATTGATTGATATTCGAAAGTACAGACAGTGACACCCCAATAATTGACCAGTATCAGAAAGTTGACAACTTGCTTCCAACGGTTTTCATAGAAGTAAGTCCTTTATGTTAAGGAGTATTTCGTATGTTTAAATCTGTTAACAACAGCAACTCGCTAGTGTGTGGCTGTCGACGTTTCCACTGATTATGTGGGACAAGATTTCTACACATATACCTAAGTAAGTTCGTAATTTCAATAGAGTGCTTTCTGCTATTGTCCAAAATAGTGTGAAAACTCATAATGTCACCTCATTATTGCCCATATGAAAACTTTCTGTGCAAGATAATTGGCCAAGTGATGCCACCAGTAGAGTAGATAAAATCTGCCTGTCTGCCAACCGGCACTAACTTGCTCCAATTTAACAGTTAGCACATCCCAACGCAGTCAGTTAGCCACCACGTGTCCGGGTAGCATTGTGGGAACGTCAGCTGTGCACAATCAACCCGATTCTTGATCGTCTATAACACGTCACCGTTCCCATGTAGCTTAGTGGTATTAATCAAGGAATGGTAACGTCCCAGCTGCTGGCTCTAGCCCTACTTGAAGCAGATGGAATCTATAATATTGACGATTTTCAAAACATGAAACGGCTGTTAAGTGATTTTCCGACATGTGGTGGTCTGACTGATTCTGGATGTGAACAGCAGTTGTATCATTTACTCTCTTTTACCTGACACCAAATGATTACGAATTAATACGAAAATTTTAGCTCTAATGAAAGCGGTGCAAGACGAATGACAACTGGTGTTGCAATTTGCCACACAATTCTTTCTACAAATACTTGTTCTCTCTGCATCGGTAAAAGCACGTAAACTTCGCACGACTCACAGAGGGCTTTGGGGTTCTCTGCATTCGACAAATAGCTAAGGAAGCACCGTCGGTTTGATATATACATGCAATTCGAAAGATCAGTGTCTAACTATTTTTAAAACTATGAGTATAATTTGGACATTCTATTAAGTTAAATAGAAACATAATATAAACGTACCCTGAAACGCGCAATAGAAGATAAACATTACGATAACTTTCCTTGGTGCACCCGAATATTTTCAGGTGATCGATTTCTTTGTGCTACGTTTTGTGTATTTCATTCCTGGGGATTTATGACCATGCCCTTCTTGTTCAGACAGCGCAGCACTAATCCAAGTAAACACATACAAGTTATTTCAATTGATGTAATGTGTCTGTATTTATGCGGAATGTCGGCAACTCAGTTTGACAACTGGGGTGTAGGTTAAATTTTTTGACCTTCTTTGGATAGAAGTGGTGAACATAGGTGACATTTTGCCTGATGAAACATCGTGTTGCGAATTCTCATTTGTTCAATGCACAAACAATTCGAAGCACTTTTTATATATGGTATATCAACGACAATTGCGTGTCTACCAGGCTTAAAGTTGAACTGCACTACCTATACAGTATAAGCTTTCAAAGATGCCGAACGATTTCACTTGTGACTCAGTTGATTTTGTTGTGTAAATCACCAACACCTCGTGGTGGTTAAAGCGAAAGCATATCTGTGCAAACAATTCCACTGAAGTATCAGTGTCAACCGAGTGTTCACTATATTAATTAACTCAGGAATTTTCTGATGGCTAGAAAGACGAAACGTCAGATTTGTTAGCCTATTATATTGTACTTCACATTAAAAATCAGGGGCAGCTATTGGCAAATTGGTCACATTACATTACAGTTCATCAAGAAGGGGATAATCTTAGGATGAATCTAAAAATAATTACTTGTAAAGTACCTTGGCTAGTTTGTGATATCGAACTGTAACAGATTGGTTAGGTTGCACAAATGAGCCGTACCAAATGTACCTGGAAAATCATGTACAAAAACTCAATTTTTATTAATTAGATGCTAAAGTACTTATTGTTAACATCAGTGAAGTGAGAAATCAAATCACGGTATTTACCCAAATGGGACGTTTTCAGTATTTTACATAAAAAACCACGAATGGGCTGAATTGGTACCAGAAAAGCAAAACTGTAAAATATGGGTAGACCAAAATGAATGGGTGCAATTACATCACTGGGTAAATAGATCCAGCTGCCCTGGGCAACAATTGCACAATTTTGAATAGGATCCTCTGAAGTTTCAACCAATCAACAAGGCATATATTAAAACTTTTCTTCATAACTGCTTTCATTTGACGTAAAACTATCTGTCCAATTGCAGTAAATTGAGATTAGTGCGCAGTTCCTCAGCTTTCGTATTTAAAATATGGAAATAGTAGGACGGTCTCAGTCACCTTGGAATTATTTCGAATAAATAATCTGGCGGACTCTTCTTGAGTAGGTGATGACGCAAAACAAATTTGGATGATAATGTCAACAGCTGATTAAGACCCCACATATGCAGGGAGAATATTATTTAATCGGCTAAGCTGCGTACCTATGCTTTAGCGCATCTTGCTTTATAACGGGGCTTACGTACAGCATGTCACATGCACTCGTGTCTTTATTACGCTATAGTTGAAACCGTACCTTCAAATTCTGCCCATTAGCCGCAGTTCGATATTGTTATTGAGAAGTACACTTGGCTTGCAAATGGGGAAACCTACAAATTCGCGTTCTGTCTAGGATATCTTGAATATTGAGGATACTAAATTAAAGGCTCTTGTATCCACTAACTTTGAGTAAAAGACCGTGCTTCATATCTTAATTAATGGGTCATGTAAAGAATACAACACAAATTGCGCACGGTACACAAGTACACATTGCGATTGTTTCACTTAAGTTGGCATTCACTAGTTTCGTATAATCTCATTAACCTTAGTTCAAATTATTGCTACCGGAGAAATTAGACCCTTTGAAATAATTTCAAAAGTTATCAGAATAGCTACATTTGTCAAAAAATCATTCCTTAGCAACATGTGCTGGATATGCAAATGTTTTGTTTCGAGTGATGTAACAAAACGGCGAAACATCTGTTCTCCTTTCGTTCTCAGAATCTCAGTAACCATATTCTAGCACAGTTGCATTGTTATATAAATTCAAGGCACTCCATGCTATAATGCAAAATGTCTAAAGCTTTATTAATAGCTCGTAATGCTAATGGCATATCTGTATAGTCTATTGTCTGTCGGCAGTCAGCTGCAGACGGCAATAGTCTAGGTTGCTAGCCTAAAACTATTCGTATCGGGCATCGCATCGATCACGCAAGCTTAGTCTGGCTGCGTTATCAGCAGTAAATTCAAGCCAGCTCGGTAGACAGCGAAGTAAATTTTCCCATGATTTGAAGACGGTGAGGTATTCTTGATGTTAATTGTGGGGAAAAGGCCCCGATGTTTGATAATGCATATTAGAGAGAGAACGCTTATTCTGTCAAAACTGAGCTCAAGGAATATTATCAATTAAGAGCCTCAAATGTTTGAAGACACTAGTTTTGCTAAAAAAAGATAGAAAAACATATATACGCAACGACACTACATTTATTTCCGGTTGCACTTTCGCGTACCTATAAAGAAACATTCTGGGTGATTACAGTTTCGCTGTGTATTCTTAGAAACAGAATCTGTGAGGAATCATCAATTAATTTTTTATTGCTCTAATCACCTGAGCTATTGTTGCAAATAAGGTATACACCGTTGACGATGCAGTTCATAAGACGTGTA